AAGAGGAGGGGAGGAGGGGGGAGGGGGGAGAGGAGGAGGGAACAGAAGAGGAAGAAGAAGGGAAGGAGGAGGAAGAAGAAGAAGAAAAAGAGAAAAAGGAAGGAAGGAAAGAAAGGGAGGGAGGAATAAGGAAGGATGCAAAAATATTTGTTGAATGACTGAACAAATGAACACATATGAAGGAAATTTGAAAATGCAGAATGATAGAAGCAAAAATAAGATCACCCATAATTTTCTCTTTCTGGATATTTTTTCTGTTAACATTTTAGAGTATTCTGCCTATCCTGACCCCCATGTCTTTATATTATGTTACATTGTGGATTGTATCCTGTTTTTTCCTCATACTGTATCTCTACATTTTATGACATAGTTTTTAAAAGTAGTGTAGAGTACTTCATAAGAAAATAGAAAACTTAGTATATACCTATTGTTGGACTGACGACTTAATTTTTTTCTCTAATTTATCCTCTGTCCAAACCATTTGAATAGGACTTGACTTTTAAGACACTGTAACCGCTCCTGGCTGTGGCATCATTACCTTCTAGGAAATGTCAACTGACCAGACTTTAATTTTGTAGGCTTTCTGTGACCTCTTTCAGTGGCAAGTGACTTATTTGATGACCTAGTTAGTATGACAAAGAGTTGTGGTTTGTTAGGGGTTGAGTTTCTAAAACTTCCTGATAAAAAGATAAACCTGCACATGTTTTCACCAGTGAATGTAGCTAAAGGGAGAGCAGAGGCGGGTCCCAGATTCCTCTTCATCTCCCAGCGTTTTGCTGTTGAAGTTAACTAGGGACCAAAAAAAAAAAAAAATTGAAGTTTCTAAATATTCATAGATTTATAATAAAACCTTAGTGAACTAATAGGAATATGAAGACAACAAGCTAACTTGAAGAAAGGAACTGAGACCCAGAGAGGAGCTCTGTCTTGCCCAGGCAGGGACCAGCAGTGAGAGCTCCAGCTCCCAGAGGAGGTGACACCATTCTCTGCAGGCCAAGCCAGAGAAACTTCTGTGCAAATGCACTGGGACCTTGCTGCAAAATGCATTTCAGGCTGTAGACAACCATGTGAAAAGACAGAGATTTGAATTATAATATTTGAGAGAAATTCATTAAGGAAACATTGTAGTTGGTTATTTAATTACTAAGCTTAAGCATTTGGGATACCCTCTATCATAGCTGTCAAATTTGGTAAAACTTTGTTAGCAAACATCTGCTGTAAGTGTATGCATTATGCCAGCATCGTTATATGCCACTATAATAATATGTATTTTAAAGCATACACAGAAATAAACATTTTACCAGAATGAAGGAGAAACAACACAAAAAATTGTTCTGTTATTTTAGTAAATTGTCTTTTGTGCTCCTTCAGGGGCCTGCAACACATTCTGGAAACCACTGTTCAAGATCATGGTTTTCCACACATGAGAGGAAGGGTCAGGACTCCTCCATGGGCCGGAAGTTAGTTCCCCAGGTTGCAGCTACCCAAATATAAATGAGCTGCAATAAAACAGATAGAAAGTGGCCGGGCAAACTGCAGTGGTAATGGTAACTATTGTTCAGCAGGGCCTTTTTTCCAGGGATGTATATGGGTGGGAGTATTCCTGGGCTGAGTGGCGCATACTGAAGGGTGAATGCATCTAAATTAGCAGTTTGGTGATTATGAGAACCACTCCCATCATTCCTAACCTCACTACCCATCTTCAAAATGACTGCTTGTTACCAGTATGACTATCTCTTCTGATCTAAAATGAAACAAAAGCCCTCAGAGATTCCCACAGCTTGCAAGAAGAGCTCTTACTCCTCAGCCTTGAGTCTGAGACCCTCCCGGCAGGGTCCTAATTCCCCCTCTTATTCCAATTTTCTAATTCCAGTCCTCTCCTGATTTCCTGCTACTATTTCCATAATTTGACCCCTATTTTGGAGCAATGTAAACTCCCATATCTTATCTCTTCTTCACATTTTCAAATCCAACCCCTTCTTCCAGCTTTCTTCTGCAGCAGTGCCTTCTCCTTGAGCCCCTATTATCTTTCCATTCTTTGAATTGTCCGTATGCATGGAAGAAAACCATTTTGTGAAAACTAGCTAAGTGACCATGGTCTGAAAAGGAAAAAAAGAGGCCCAGAATCACCCTTCTTGCTCCTCAAATCCTCTCCCAGGCCTCTCTCTCTCTCTCTCTCTCTCCCTCTCTCTCTCTCTCTCTCTCTCTCTCTCTCTCTCTCTCTCTCTCTCTCTCTCTCTCTCTGTCACACACACACACAATGCACACACATAACCCTTTTCCATGCTAGGATTCTAGTTCTGGCTCTGGGGCTTTAAGGAGGTCATGTTCCACCTATGATTTTAAGTCTATGAATATAGAGAAAAACTGGAAGTCTTCGAGGTCAATTTGCCCAATTCCTCTTTTTCACGATGCTATAAATAACATCAGCAAAAGGGTAACGGCCAGGTTCTGTGTTAAAAACTTTTAACCATCGTCTTATTTGGTGTACACATCTCTGTGACATGGTATAATTTCCCACACCCCCATTGTTCAGGTGGACTCAGACTGCAAGGAGAGGTTGACTAATTAACTCATGCTTGTACAACCTTCTACGGGCAGGATTTTGGCAGCTGAACCCATAGGCTTCCTCTAAACCACCATGGGAACTGCAGAGAGGGGCTGAGGACAATTTAAATCCGCAGTCAGGGCCCCACTGACCAGCTAAGTCATTAGCTCATTCTTCTGGCTTTTCTGTTTTTACTGCCAACTTTTCTCTTTCTCGCCCTTTTATCTTATCTTCTTCCTCTTCCTCTGTCCCATCCTTCCTTCCTCCTTTAAGTATTAGTTGTTCATGAACTAGATTTCAGAAAGAGTTCACGGAGCTAGAAGGAATCTAAGAGATGAATTACTTGAATCTCTTCATTTCTCAAGAGGAGGAAATGGAGGTCCAGACGGGAAGGGTGTGGCACTGGCTCACAGCGACCTTGTAGCAGGGTTGAGGTGAGAATCCACTTCCTCTTCCTCCCCGCCCATCAGTAACTCTACTGCCTCAACTCCTGTCAGGCCCTAGAAACAGCCAACACTTAGCAGTCTGGCCCTGGACTCCTTACCTGAATGCTAAGATGTCATGTTTTTCACATACAGAATTGAGAGTTGTTAGCTTTGAGTAAAAGCCAGCCAGTGTTTACAGAGTATTGGCTCTGCCACAGGACTGTGGTAGTGTGGGGGATCAAACAGTGCACACACATGAACCTCCTTTCTTTCCAGCCCAGCCCACTCTACCCTGCTGTATGCACCCTCAGAGCACACAGGCCCTCCATTCAGCTCTTACCACCTTGGCTGTGTCATCTGCTCGTCGTCAGTCTCTCCCAATAAACTCTAAGCTTCCTGAGAACAGAAGTCTCTTTCCTTTCTTTGCTTTCCCAGCCCTCAAGGCTCTATTGCACAAATCAGGTCCTGATGGATGCTCTATTACTATTTGTTGAATGAATAAACAAATGCATAGTTCCTGCATTAGTTTGCTAGGGCCGCCACAACAAAGTACTACAACCTGGGTAGTTTAAACAAGAGAGAGCTAGTTTTCTCACTAGAATTTAAGATCTAAGCATCTGTGGAGTGGTTTCCCCTGAGACTCTCTAGACACTTGCAGATAGCCACCCTCTTGCTGCCCCTTCACAGGGCCTTTCTCACTGTGCATGGGGAAAAGTGTCTCTGCACATCCTCTTCTTCTCTTTTCACAAAGTCACCAGTCAGTTTGCATGAAGGACCAACCCAACAACTTCATCTTAACTTAGTCACCTCTTAAAGGTTCTGTTTTTAAATGAAGTCACATCCTGAAATACTAGGGATTGTGGCTTAGTTATATGAATTTTGAAGGAACACAATCCAGTCCATAACAGCACACAGTGTCTTTGACACATTCACGATTTAATGGAAGGCACAAAAATGTAATAATGGTAAGACAATATATCCTCTCCTTTGTAATAAAGTACAAAGCCTTGTGGAACACAGGTAATAGTTAATAATTATAATAATTGCATGCTGTGTGTGTCATGCACTGTTCTAGGTCCAGGATTACCTAATTCAGCTCCCGCCAGAATTAAATGTCAGCAGACATCTACTAGTACCTGCAATGTCAGTCATTATACTAGAATCTGGAGAGACAAAAATACATAAGCTTCAATCATAGTGGAAAGACTGTTGCTGTTTAATGGGAAAATGAATGCACACGCACACACACTCACACACACACACACACAGAGTGCTCTGCTATGTCTGTTGATTCCTGTTATTTTTATAGCTCCCATAACATTTATTCCCCAGCTGGTAATTCGTTCTGTGCCCCACCAGGAAAATGGTAATGAGTTAATTATTTGCACTTAAGAAATTTAACATAAGCACTAGTAGATCGACACTATAAATGGAGAAACTGAGGCACAGCCAATAAATCACGTGCCCCCATCACATGGTGAATAGGTTACCTGCCTGGGGCTGAAGACCATCAGACTGGCTCTGGAGTCTACTCTTAACCTGCACTGCACATTGCCCTTGATGATAAGGCATCTTGCTACTTTCATCACAAAAGGAGAGGGAATCCGAGACAATGCATAAAGGAGGAGAAAATAAGCAGAGACACAAAGTGGGGCAAAGAAAGCAGAGAAAAGAAATAGAGGAGCCAGAATTCCCAAGGCCAAGTTTGGGATGAGCAGGTGCCATAGAAGGAAGGCTGGGAAGGTAAACTGGGACCAGATTAGGTGAGCTCTTCTTCTATGTGATAATAAAATTAGGCTTGATTCTCTAGATGCCTGTAAGTGATTGGGCCTTGGATCATTTAATCCTACCTCCTCTTTTTGCCATTATGGAAACTGAGGGCCAGAGAGAAGTGGCTCACCCAAAGCCACACAGCAGGTCAGCAGCAGAGTGGAGACCACAACCAGCTCTCCCAAGCCAAGTTCTGTTAATCTCTTCCTGCATAAGCGTATGGAAGTGCGAATGATTTTAAAGAGTGCTTCTGGCTGTGCTTTTCCATGTCTTTTATCCAGTTTTCACTCACTTTCTTTTTTCTAGCAGTTGTACTTTTGCCTAAGTTTTAACTAATATATTCTCAGGTAAAATAACTTCTATGATTCAAAGCCCAGCGATCCCATAGAAATCAGGAATGATGTTGTTTGCCGAAGTAGTACTACATTATGCAGCAAAATGGCTCACTGGCACCATTTATAGGCTGGAAGAACCTGTATTTTGTATGCCTTGGTCTTATAGATACAGATACTTAGATGCAAACTAAATAGTCACTCTGGCTGTGTTTATTTTGCCATACAAATATATTTGGTTGTCAAATATTTACTGTGGCTACTACACGTCAGACACTGCTCTAGAACTTCAAGATACAAAGAGGTAAGTTCAATTCCAGATGAAGGTGCTTTCCCTGTTTAGCAGTGAAATGCATGTCCATACACCTAGACACGTCTGGTAAGCTCTTGGGAACTATTTCTGCCATACTTATGAGCCTTATAGCAGTGATTGTCCTGGCAAGATTCAACCAGGGAAATAGAAACCATTTTAGGTCTTTCAATACAAGAAATTGAATACACAATTCTCCCTTTATCATCAATTTTACTTTCTTTCATTTATGTTTCCTGTACTCAAAACATAGTCTAAAACTATTAAATGGGAAATTCCAGAAACAATTCATATAGTCAGTCTAGGCTGTAAACCATCTGAGTAGTGTGATTAAAATCTTGCTCCAACTCTCTCACCCAGGGTCATGAGTTATCCCTTGTCCAGTGTATCCACACTGTATACCATACCCTCACTGTGTTAGTCACTTTGTAGCTGTCTCAGTTGTCATGGGTTCAATATTACTCATGGTTTCAGATATCCACTTCCATATGGCCTTGGAATGTAGCCCCCATGGATAAGGGTGGGGGGACTCTTGTGTAGGAAAATGGATGCATGGTGATGGAAAAGCTGACAAGTTGAACAACAGACAGGACACCACAGAGATTAACAACAGCAGGAAGATGCTACTGCTCCTGAGCCTGGAGGAACACAAGAGAGGACGGTGTTACCAGATTTGGGAAGTCAGGTTGGACGGGATGATCTGGACATACACAGAACACAAAGCCGCTGCAGAGATGCCACAGGAGGACAGAGCAAACAGAAAAATGCCAGCTTCTCCCCTCCTCTCCTTCAATCTCCTATAATTGACTCCTATTAGCCAAACCTTCCTTGAAGCAATGGGGAAAGCCTGGAGCACCCAGTCCTTGGGGTGGTGAGCAGAGCATGAAGCAGTTGACTAGCTCAGCGGGTGACCTTGGGCGAATCAATTAGTCTCTCAAAGACTTAGTTTCCTTGTTGGTAATTTGAGAAGAATAACACCTCTCAGGTTTGTTATGAGTCTTACATGAAAGGAAGTAAGTGAAAGAATTTTATAATCTTCAAAAAGCACGTATACAAACTCAAGGTCTTTTATTCTTGGTTTTAATGCAACATAATTGGGCTTTAGCTCTAGGAAAAGAAATAGGAAGGTACTCAGGGGTCATCAGGAAATCCACAGTGCCCAGTGAGTTACCTGAATAAAGGACAGTACCTTTTAATTTTTCTATTTGTGATATTAGCCTGTCACTCTTGCCAATGGCCTTTGTGAGGTACAGACTGAGTTTAACTAAATTGACACACAAGGAATAAAACATTACAGCGCAGCCTCCATTCTATTCAGAGCTCTGGCTGTGGCTTTGAGTCAAAAGTGAGAAATAAATAGGACTCTGGAAATTATTTAAAGACCCTTTATCCATCCTTTTCATTTTGCAGAGCACCAGAAAGGGAAAGAGATTGGCACAACGTCCCATGCCAAATTCTTGGCAGAGGGAGAAAAAGCCTGAGAAGACCCTCACACCTTCCTTGACCTGTCCCTTCTTCCTTGAACTGCGGAGGTCTCAAATTAGTCTCCTGGAACAATTTGTACTTCCCACTTGGCCTTCTTCCTTTCTTATTATCCTTATGCCTCTTTTTTGCCTTGTTGCCTTTATTCTTTTCCCTTTAATAATATTTGACAATTCCATTTCACAGGCAGATAATGAAAGCTTAGCACTAAGTCATATCTATTTGAAGTTTAGGAGGTAGGGAAAAATTTTTCCTAAATAACTCAACTCCCCTTTGATAGGAAGTGAGAAAGTA